TTAACTGATGTTTCACTTTGGTTTTGATTTTTGTTTCAAAGAAGTAGAACTGCTTGTTTATTCAGACCTTCAGATGGGCATGGACGGCCTTAAGTTGTTTCTGGGCCTCAGCTGCCTGCCTGTTAGCCTGGCTTAGCTGGATCTCCATCTCATTGAGGTCTCCCTCCATCTTCTTTTTCAGACGCAGGGCCTCGTTCCTGCTGCGAGTCTCAGCCTCCAGAGAGCTTTGAAGAGTATCCACAGTTCGCTGGTGGTTTCTTTTCGATTGCTCCATTTCTTCATCTTTCTCAGCTAGCTTGCGCTCAATGTCCGCCTTTACTTGGTTAAACTCAAGTTGGGCTCTGAGAATCTTCCCTTCCTCATGCTCCAGTGTGGCCTGTCACAAATAGAAATTAGACACAATGACTACATAACTTGTAATGAATTAATACTCACAACCTAAAATCTTTCAAATTTGAAAAAGGCCAGCATGCAGCAGCTTACCTCTGCTTCCTCCAGAGCTGTCTGTATCTCAGACTTCTCTTGTTCCAACTGCTTTCGAATCTTCTCAAGCTCATGAATATTCTTTCCACCTTCACTAATTTGTTCAGTGAGGTCAGATATTTCCTCTAAGGGCATATTGTAAAAAATAAATGCCGTTATACTGTGAACAAACTGTTCATATATGATTTTAATGGGTAATTAAGTCACCTTGTAAGTTCTTGTTCTCTCTCTTCATGGTCTCCAAATGTTCAAGAGATTCTTCATAGGAGTTCTTCAGTTTGAAGAGCTCAGTGCTCAGAGACCTGGCATCTTTCTGAGAGCTCTCCAGCTCTGTTTGAGACTCCTCGTACTTCTGTTTCCACTCTGCCAAGACCTACAAGAAAGTTTTCATTTTAGATAAAAGATTGACCTTCCGCTTCAGTGAAATAATAAGTGCCGGATGAAAACCTTGTCAAAGTTTCTTTGTTTCTTGTCTAGAGCAGCAGCAGCAGCATTAGACCTCTCTACATCCACCATGAGATCTTCAATCTCATTCTGCAGCCTGTGTTTGGTCTTCTCCAGAGAGGAACATTTAGCATTCACTGCTTCAACAGCCTCCTCAGCCTCTTGCAGACGCTGAGCCAGCTTCTTTCTAGGTGATGAAAATATGTATTTGTGGTTAAACGCTCTTTACCTTTGCTGAGTTAGTGGACTTAGTGTATTTGGCTTACTTGGCCTCTTCTAGTTCTTCGGTCCTCTGGATGGCATCAGTTTCATACTTGGTTCTCCACTGAGCCACCTCAGAGTTGGCCTTGGACATGCTACGTTGCAGTTCAGCTTTAGCCTCCTGCTCCTCCTCATACTGCTCCCTGAGCAGGTCACAGTCATGGCGAGCAGACTGCACTGCATGGGCTAATGCGTTCTTGGCCTAAAAGAAAGTGTATCTTTATGCACTGGGTGTACCAATGGTCTCTACCTAATGAGGTTACACTGATGATTATTTGCTACCTTGACTTCTTCCTCCAGTTGTCTTTTCAGGTCTTCAATTTGCTGAGTGTACGACTGTTTTCCTCTCGTGAGTTGAGACACCAGAGAATCCTTTTCCTCAAGCTGCCTCAAAAGTTCACCTTATTTAAGCATAACATTCAATTCAGTACCGCACACTGGCACAACTAAAATATGCTGTTCAG